AAGAAACTCTACTTCTTGCACGTAACGTCAATGCTTGATTATGCGTGCGTTATATGGGATCCCTACCAGCAGTATCTGATCGATAGATTAGAGAAACTTCAAAATCAAGCAGCGCGATTTGTTAGTAACAATTACGATCCATACGCTAGTATGACAGAGGTTAAAACCGTGGATGGGAGCCCTTGAGCATTCGAAGGCAAAAATTAAGATTGAAGTTTTTCCATCGCATTTATTATAATAATACTGGTATTAATAAGAAAGAGTATCTTTTGGGGCCAACGCATGTTTCAGCTAGGTGTGTTAACTCTAGAAAAGTTTTTGAATATTCCTATAAAACAAACAGCTTCTGTCATTCTTTTTTTCGTAAAGACAATTAGAGAGTGGAACTTGCTGCCTGATGATGTGGTGAGCACCTTGGACAACAGTGTATTTTTTTCTCGGCTGTATATCTAATCTGTGCGGACAAGTGATCACTTTGTGTTTTTTATGTATGTGTGCTATTTCTTGCCCCTCCTACAATAATGCCCTCGAGGTGATGTAGGTACTCTGTAAATAAAATAAAATAAGTGCCTAGTCCGTTCAAAATTAGAGTACGACTGATCCGTATGGGATCCCGGCCAACATTACCTTGTCACTGCATTGGAAAGCATTCAAAATCGAGCAGCTCGTTTCATCTTATCTAACTATCATCTCCCGTCTAGTGTAACAAATATTAAAATCACCCTATCATTACCCGACTTATCTTTCCGCCATAAATGTGCTCGTTTCTGCTTCTTTCATAAATCTACCATCACAACTCATTTTAACGCCAGTCACTTATACTCGAACCATCTTATCGCTCCGCTCGCCTCAATCACGTCTATAAGGTTGGCATACCAAGTTTCAATACTAACGCATTGAGTGTGTCATTCATACCAACAGATTGGAACCGCCTTCCCGCTTCAATTGCCTCCATCACTGACGTTGTTCTTTTTAAACAAACCCTTAGTAACAGCACCCTTAGTTGATTGATTTCGTTGCCATGATTTTTTTTGCGTGTTCACTCCCCTCTGAAACGTACTATGTACCTTGAGCGTAAATAAATAAATAAATAAATACATTGGCCGAGGAGCGATAGTGAGATGCTCGTGGTCGTCGCCAATAGACCCATACACGATGTTTACAAACAAGTCCACCCACACCAGGTGTGAGCACCGCGCGTGCGGAGGAACCAGATCCGCGTCAATTGTGATCTTCTATGCACATGCGTCACATTGACGACAGCAGCGCCACCGCAACTGCTTGACGCCAGACCCGCCTGTTGGTGTATATGACACAGTCAATGGACCTCGAGAAATGGTCTTGCTCAAAAGATTGGCGAAACTAAAGATTAAACAGATTTGTAGTCTTATTAATTGCGGAGCTATTGTCGCAGACAGAATGAGAATGGCAGAGCGTGTCTTTCGAATGCCCGGCCTCGAGCACGCGCTTTGTGCCTTCTGCCGTGCTTTGGCTGCGCCAGCCCGCGCGCTCCAGGTACCCGAGATGCCAAGGGGTTGTCGAAGGTCGAAAGCTCGCGCTCGAGGCGGAACACTGCCGCTCCCTCGCCTTGTTAACTAGTCACCATAGAAAGCGATCAGTATGGTTTTAAACGCGGTCGCTAAACAGACACACTTCAAACTGAGGTGACTCACAACCAAACTTCGATGCATCGACCGACGATAACAAATAGATGCTGTCATCGCGGATTTTGCCGAGGCCCTAGACCGCGTTTTTCATCATCCGAGGCTACTTCGTAGACTCGAGTGTATCTTTAACAATCATCAAATCCGGACATGAAGGTTCATCTGGTTGGTAGAGAACAGCTTGTGCAGTTAGATAATGCAACGTCGAACAACTTATCCGATTACATATGGTGTGCCCCTGAGATCTGTTGCCTAGGATTCGAACGTAAAGTCAAAGTCAAGCATTTTGCGGAGAGTATAATTATCTATTCAAAAATACGTACATACATCCGGTGATCAGAAAATATCGAGTGAACATTTACCTAAATTAACAAGATGGTGTAACGATTGACAAATAAAAATTAAAGAACAAAAGTGTAAACATATTATACGAAACAGAAAAGAAAAAAAGATTGAAACTACCAGCACAGTTTACTTTCATTGCTGGGGGTATGCCTTAAAAGTTTCCGGATTACAAATACCTCGGCGTTCTTCTGAGATCGGATCTGAACTGTAATGAACTCCTAAAAATATTTCCAATAATGCGCTAGAAAGCTTCGGACACTTAGGCAGAGAAACAAACTTTGGGTGTCATTCACGCCAGAAAACATTTACAAAATAGAAAGCATACAAGTTAAAGCTGCCCGATCTGCCCGATTTATTTTCAATCGCTATATCAATCAAAAGATTTCGCCTCACTACTAAAGACCGCCGAAACCTCGATTTTACATATAGGTACAAGCATAATGTTGACTCTAATTTTGTTTTTACTTGCTACATGGTCATTACTTTATTTATACTCACAAGCACATTATGTGAGATAACGCAACGATAAGAAAACACAACAAACACATTATGTCTTACCTCCTTAACACGGACTCCTTTAAAAACTCTTTCTTTGTTCAACGCACCGATGAATGGAACTTCATATCGACAAATGCTTGTGTGAATGTGTCTACTTTTCTCCATACTTCTAAGACTTGGGGGTGCTCTTCCTCTCATCATACCCATCTGCTTTGGCCTTAAGTCTGGCAGTATTATAAAGATAAATAAATGAATAAACAACCAAATAAATAATAACCGCCGCTCAAAATTGACGCGAAAAAATTGTATACCTTTTTGTATAAAAAAAGTCATTCCTTATTTTTTATTGTTTTACGTTTCTGGGATAGGTTCTTTTTGTTGATATGAGCTGATTATACTGACCATTAGGGACATTAATCTGGACTTATATTGTGTTTCAACTGGCTCAGCGTGTCTTAAGTTTAAAGCTCCTATGGGTGACCACGGGAGAGTCTTTAGCCAAAGCGTGTGCGCAACAGAAATTAACATAATGTAATGGTGGCTATATGTGCGAGTAAATTCATCGAAGAGTGGGGGCTCCACCGAGCGTTTATTGAGAAGGATTTGCTGTTGCGACATTATGCACGTGTTCCTGTTTGGAGCTTTCTTTGGCACCTGCGTTGAATAATTAACAAACTTAACCATGAAAAAAAAAAAAATAGCACAGGGTGCGTGCCGTAATGATCAATTCGATGAAACATCGTGAGCATTTCAATTTTCATTAAAGCCCGGAGAGAGTACAGTGAAACACAAGCTCGTGCTGTGTCGTCCCTTCTTTTCCCGCTCTCTGAATTGTAAATGTTAATGTGAAAAGTTAAGCCACCTTACCCTGTACTTACTAAACCACAAAAAAGGAGTTTTTTTTTTGCGTATTTTTGGCAAATTATAGTACGCCTTTCTCTATACGCAAATACTTACATTAAACGATAGTGATACGGACCTATGAACTAAGAGGATGTAGACAGCTTAAAAATTAAAAAGAATAACCGTAAATGAACCTTGAAGCATGCTTACATTTTCGTTTCGTTGCGGCGGGTACCCAGGAAAGTACTTGTTGCTGAGGCTTGAAAAAATGCATTTTCTCTTCGTAACTACATTCAGCCTGAACTGATACGCATTCCTTCAGGGACATATCTAGAGCTGTGGACGGAGCAGGTATTGTATCGCACGCCTACGTCCGCGTACTGACGATTGCGTCAGATCTACCAGGAAGAGTAGAGAACAAGATATCTGAAACGCAACGATCCGTGATCGCTCATTTTATCTTGTACCTTTGAGGTTCCTTATCTTACGAGTGGTTATATTCTCGTAGGGAGGATACAACCGAAGACTGACGTATCTTACAACCAGAACCATTGAGCCTTTGGTTTCACTTTTATCAAGTTTTGTCATTTTATTCGAGAGAAAGTGCAGTGTTCTGTTGATGTTGCAGAGAAACTTTGACTGTAGTCGCTTCCATCACTGGAAGCTTAAATAGACAACCATTGGTATATAAGCGATTTATACGTGTTTTTTATCATAAGCTACATATTGTGCAAAAGGGAAGTTATTTCCGTAACTGTAATAATGAACACACTCGAAACACTTCTATCATATATAATAGATAGTGACGATCGACGGTGATTCCTTTGGAAATTTAATTTCCAAGAACTTAAAAGCGGGAGGATCAACGATAATCTTCTTTTTAACCTGACTGAAAGTTTAATTAGCTATACCTATAGCATTTTAGTTGCTTAATTTATCACACAGGCACGATGATAAGAATGATGCTTTTGGCTGTATTCAAATATTAATTTTAATCACTGCTCAAGGTATACAACGAGGGCCAAATAGATCTATTTCACTTGAAATAATTTTCAAAAATAAGCTTGGCATATGCTCTGACATTCTAGCTGGTTCATTTATCTAGTTAAAATACCCAAGTAAAACTTTGCCTAAATTGAAAGTTACAAATAAAAACAAAACGTTTCCTAAGTTATAGGAAACGTATTATTTATTTATTTATTTGAAATAAATAAATAAATAAATAAATAAATAAAACTTTTCCTATAGCTTAATATTGAGTTTAGACTTTTTGAAGTATAATGAAAAATAGCGTTATTGATGGCTATGGGGGCAATTTATTGGCCAAAGAAGAAGCAATAAATCCGTTTTTTTTTTGCTCTATATCGGTACTTGTTAAATGAAATGCCTCAATAATCAACTTTTTTTTTTATGGGATAAGTTTATTTAGAAATGATCTTGATATTTGTTTGTACTTCTAATTTAGATCAGATTGCTCTTTTAAATATTTAGAAATGCAGCGCCTAGCCACACCATCGTGGCAGATTGCAATGTCGGAGCATCTGTGACCGATTTTTTTTTTTTATTTATTTAGAGTGGTTCACATCTCTATGGACCTCGCTGTACATGTAGCCACGTGCCTCGAGTCAGGTAACTAAAAACACACAATATAAGTCACGCTCTCCTCCATGAAACACGACGGATGGCACAAACAAAAGTACCTAGATCCATCCACTAAACCTAATTTTGGACGGTATGTAAACGTCCGAGAGAAACGTCGGATCCACGCTGCAGAGTCCTTGGATCTCGGCCTTCCTTTGGAGACCATCGAGCAGAACCATCTGCTCTTTCCACGCTGGGTTGCTGTCCACGTACGGCCTGGCCAACAGGTTCCTCAACTTGGATTTGTCGCCGTAGCTCAGCGGAGGACAGTCCTTGAGCTCGAAGGTGACCACGTCAGACGGATGCACGCCCAACCACCGGATACGGGGTACCGCCATGCAGTCCGTCTCGTTGGCCATCGCCAGGGACCCGTACGCGTACACGCAGAGGATTTCGATGCCGTACGGGTCGGCATCCACGAGCGCGTAGACCGGGATGTCAACTTCGACGTGAAGTCTTCTGAGAAGCCTCTCGCGTGTTGACGTCGGGGTATCCCTTTCCCGTTATCAGGATGCAAGGCCCCGCGGACTTGAGGAAACCGTCGTTCAGGAGCTTCTGGGAAGGTGGCGTCTTTCTCGATGACGAGGATGAAGGTCGCTGAAGACTGGATGTTCCGCATGCCGCCGACGTCGGTCGGAACCAGGGTGGGCTTGAGGGAGCCGTCCACGAAGTTGCCGCTGCCGTCGGTGAAGCGGACGTCCCCCGAGAAGAGGCCCTTAGACGTGGCGAGGACGTTGAGGGCAGCGACGTGGGACCTGGGGACCGTTAGTAGCGAAGACCTGACTTATTATAAGGCCGTATAGACTTTCCGCTTTTAACTGGAAAACATCAATAAATAGCTGCCGTTATCAAACACACAAAATCAGTCAAAACCGATAAACCGGCATGACCAACTTTTTCGGACATTTCGTGAAATAAAAAGTTTTCAAAGAATCCCCGGAAAAACTAACAAAATGCTGAAAAACAACAACGACAACAACAACAACAAACCGGAGAACCAGTTGAACGATTTCGCCTTCGCATAGCCCAGATAGCACAACAAGCGGCAACATTCGACAAACACCTCAGCCAACAGAACTGGTCGCAATTCTGCACGCGCAGCTCCAAGGTTTTCCCGAACCTCGGCACCCTGTGAACATGGCACCAGCTTCGGCCCCTCATGGGCCACAAAGAATCCAGATCGGCCATAGCCCATCAGTTCAGAAGGCTTATTCATAATTACCAATACCAGGGCACAGAAGAAG